TATCAACTTGTCTTCATCTCGTAACTAAGATTTGAAAGAAGGTGAATATGTTATAAATTTAAGAACTCACAGAAACAAAGAAACATAGACCAATATGACTTCTTAGTTAATAACAAATAAATCACTAATTTTACCCCCCGAAAAAAATCACTTATAATTTTGATAACATATCACTAACAAATTTAAAAAGCTGAAGGAGAACATAATTCATAGATGAATATAATGCATAGATAAAGTTGGAAGAAAAATAGAAACCAAGATATATCGTCTATTTTGAATAGTGGTGGCATCATGAGGAAAATTGATAACGCCTCCTTCAAAGTTTGCAAACCCTGACGGTTTTGCATTTTCTCTTTACACTTCCATAACTGGTAAACCAATCATAATTAATAAAAGAGAAACATTAATAATCAGATATCATGATTTTTAACATAACCGCACTCTTATTTCATTAGTCATTTTAGTCTAAAACAGATTCAAGTTATAAATTGAGGTGATTAGTGCACATGCAAAAGAATATAATTTCACTATATAATGAACTTATTATATCAGTTGTATAAAAGATTGGATAAATTGTTAGCTTTTTCAATCTCTAACAGGGAAGTAAAGAAGATGCATAATTTCAAAAAAAAAAAAAACCATCGAATAAAACAAACCATGTTCTCAAACAATTGTTTATAATGCTATAGGCTTTCAAGTTTTAAGTGGACGTGAAAATCAATATTTTTCTATTTTAATTCGTGAAAATAAATTACAAATAAAAAAGCAAATTACCGATGATGGATGAGACACTCAGGTCTTTGACTCCATTGAAGATATGAAAAAAGAACATATTTGAAGAATGAAAAATCTCTTTCTAGGCCGGGAAAGATGAGAAACCTGAAAATGATGAAGAAAAAAAAAAGATTAGTAATCACTTTCAATAGTAACGAATATTGACGATTTATGCAGCAAATAAAAAAGTGTATTAGTGAGATAATTGAATCCCAATATTGAGTTTTATAAGGGAATCATGGTAGTTTTTATTTTCTAAAATTGTGGGATAGTGGATTTGTGGTGGGATGAGTAAACTTGAATAATATCCTTTTAAATCTGCAAACGTTTTCCGATATTTAATGCATCTCTAATTTTTATTTTTATTAATTAATCTCTTTAAAACTGAAACACTTTTCACATCCGGTATAATACTATTGGACATGTGACTTGTGCTTTAGTATAATAAGGATACTATCAGGCTTTTTTATATTAATGGGCCTGAAAATGAGGCTCCAGTCCAAATAACTTATTTTACAAAAAAATTCATAAAATCGAGTGTTTTTTTAACCCACATCGGTTTTGGTCTTAGTATTGTGTTTGTTTATATATAGAATTGAATCAACTTGTGTATGTCAAAACTGTAACTTGTGAATCAACTTGTTATAAGTTCAGTAACGAGAACTTGTAACCCATGTGGGGACATTAAGCTTAGTCCGTCTCAAAACTGGTTCGGATTAGCACGATCAAATCGGGATGGTCAAAGCTCTTGAAAGAGAACCTACCACCACCACTTCAACTTGGGGACGACGGGGTATAACTTGAGCCGGGGCCATCCAAATTCGATTTGCTGGTTCGAACCACCCTTTTTTTGAACCAAGATTTGACTCAACTGGTTTCGAATTAGAACTAGCAAAAATCAATTCGAGATCAAAAAAAAAAAAAGAAGAAGATACACACAGCTTTGCTTGGAATGTAAAAGCTTCAACACTTCTCACAAACAAACTGATTTCAGAGATTGTTTTGGAAAGTAAAATTTTCGGATTTATAAATCATTGCATGATTTATTGGTATTCTCATATCTCAATTCAAAGAAACGAAATTTAACTGTGACATAAACAAGAACACACAAGAAAGAAACTATCTCTTTTCATGCCTTGTGGTTTTTCGCCATCTCGTCAACGTCCAATTCTACAGCCAAAATTGGAGAATCTTGTCCCATTGCAGTGTTACTGATTTATGGCATAAGAAAACCACTCAAGGGTTTCAGGATTAAGCAAAAAAAAAGCTGATTAAGTGATGAGAAAAATTTGTTTTTTTTTTACCTGTTTCGAACGGGACCATGATCCACGGCAGTTCTCAGACAGTAGATAGCTCTTCCAACAATGTCTGCTGTTGAAACTGGACCAAATGTTCGACTATCATATGCTTCCTGTTTAAACACACACACACAGTGATCAAGTCAAGAAGAAAGAGACTAACTATATAGATCATCGACTTTTCGAGAATTTCAGGAAAGGAAAGATAAAGAAGAAAGTGAATTGTATGTGTATGTACCTTAGCTTTGAGCTCCTGGTTTTCAGCTATTACCCAACATTGATCTTTTTCGAGAACAAAAGGCTCTTCTTTTTCATCACCCGATACCATCTCAACTCCTTCTACAGCTGCTAATCTTCTTACCAGATACTTATCTGAATTGTTTGGATCCTTCAAGACGACAGCGTCTCCAATGAATAGATACCTAAGCATGGAGTTATACCATTAATCATGTGAAGTGGACAAGGATCTGAGTGGTGACATAAAACATGTGAAGGGGGTAAAATAATGGCACACGAATTACACAAGTTCGGAAAACACAGTCCGTGTCAATCATTTCAAAGGTTAACTTAAAAAGCGACATTGTGTCTATAGGTTATGATATGAACCACACCTGATTATGATTATGGCGAAACAGAAACGAGAAGTGGAACACGAAAGACTGAAATAGAAGGAAAAGGTTCAAAACATACCTCGTATTAGCCATTGGTATCTTACGGATAAGAAGTGTGTTTTCATGAGCTCCCATGGTTGGGGCCATTTCCCGTCCTTTATCGGAGTGTAAGAAGGTTATCTTTCCATAGAATAGATTCTTGCAGACTATTTGAATGAGTTCTCGGTCACTCAGTTTTTCTCTCCTATGACTCTGACAAAACAAATCATGTAAAATCACAAATCATAAAGCTGAAAAATGGAAACCAAAGTAAGGATTTACATCAGAAAAAGCGACATTAGAAAGACCGATGCTGAAATATATTTTGAGAATTTGGTGTAATGGAATATAATCTGTTCTGATCAGATGTGATTTGAGTGACACTCCAAAAGTTATAATACTAAATAAAAACATATTGTCTTGAGAGTAAAGTGGTCAGCTTCAGAATAAAAGATGTCAACTTTGGTAACAATGTGAGTTCAAATTCATAAGAATTTTGTCCTATAGGAACATTCAAGAATCAAAAGCTATATCAAACATAAAGTAAGCACCTTTGTGATTTCTCAAGGTTTACTTTTGTCATAAAAACAGAGAGTTCTACACTAAATTAAATTACGAACATACTAATTCAAATGCAGAACTCAAGAAATGGAGAATTGGGAGGAACACAAAACACAGAACTTGTAATCGTTCCTAAATCCAATTCCCAAATTAACATAAATCGAATTAATTAAAGAGAAATCTAATAACAAGACAAAGCCTGTTCATAGAGAGAGAGGAACCTTGAGACTGAGCGTGAGGGAATACTCAAGCTTATGAGCCATGTATCTGAACCAAGTCGAGATTGAAGCCATGACCTTAAACCACTAGAAAGTGATTCACTTTTCAAAAAGAAATTATTGGGTTTCTCGAAGCTGGCTTCTCCGCCGCGTCGGTCTTCTCCGCCTCGTCGCCGCCGTGGTCGATCGGAAGAAGAACAAGAACCCTATCACCCTCTCTTCTAAAAAATCTTATGATGCGTTGAAGCAAATCGGAACCCCAAATATTTACAAGAATAATTTCAAAATGACCCCTCAATTTTATCACCAATTTAAGAAGTACCGCGATATTATGCAGTTTGTTAATTAGTCCCTACGGAAAAGCTTAACCGAGCTGTATTGAGACGGCCCATTAATAAACCGGACCGTAACGAATTTCTGTATTTAATGCCATCATTGATCATGAATTGCCGCAAGAAGCAAATA